TAGTTCACAACCAAGTCTGATATCAGGCAAACTCACTGAGAATTTGTGCTCAATTTGACCTGAGCTTTTTTTTTTAGAAGTGTTGTAGAATCTTTCAGCTCATTGGTTTGGTTTAAACCCCCAACATGTTTTACATATGCTATATGTTCCATCTAAAATTAGAGAAACATGGATTCACGGAGCCAATTTATATAAAATATATAGCATTTAAAGTAAGCAGTTACAGATGCCTTTCCTCTCATGAATACTGACCTGAACCCATGCAGTGCTGATCTTTTATAACTCCCAGATTTGCATTTTTCTGCTTTGTGTCTTTTTTGAACATGTGGTCCTAAGGGGCCAGTCCCAACATATTGGAATATGATCAATGTTGACAGGACTAGCCTTTGGTCGGGTTAAAGTACAATGCATTCTCCTCTCTCTCCAGCTCTTTCCTTTCATTATTCTGACCAAATAGGCTTATGAACTCTTTGAACTGCTCGGCTGAGAGTACACAAAAACCATCTAACTTACTGGAACTGACCGATAGAGATAAACTGAAGAGGAAAGAGGACGAAAAGTAATGAGGGGGTGGAATACACTGTTCCGTTCAAAAAGCCATCTTTCTTGTTTGGTAAAGTACTCGAACTTTAGCTCCTAATTTATCTAAAAGCTTCCACTTATCTACTCATCTTAATAAGAGAGCGCGGTGTAAGAGGAGGTGGGAAGGGTAATCAAGGTCGGACGGACGTGTGCTGCCTCTCTGCGGCACGCTCCTCACAACTGGGCAGGATCAACGGTCGCAAACACTGATTGGCTGATGATTAATACTTCTACTATCAACAGTGAGTAAAGTCATCTGCGGCACATTGAGTCCAAATGGCTGTCATTTTCTGTGAGGATAAGAATGACTTTTGGTAAATGTAAGAGTTGCTTTATTGCTGGGAATTGATGAGACAGAATGAGTCTATTTTTCCCGTTATAATTGAATTAGACACATCTCTATTCCAGAAAGTTGTACGATTATTCAGTTTTTTTTAACTGAGACAGACAAATGTGCACGTACATAATGGGCTTTAATACTGCCTGCCTGACACATAGGCCTCATTAATGTTGCAGGTATATGTGCACACACTTATGGAGTTTAATCACATGGTGCTAAATAGTGAATGTTATCGGAACACATTATCAGGGCAGGCAGTTGAAGGTTAATTCCAGGATCATTTATATAAGATTGGTGAAGAGGTTGACACCGATAACCTGGTCAGAGGCACCTTGCTATGCAAATGACTGCCTTTCACAGAATAGGTAGCAGCGTACGCTTCTCACGAACACGTGCCAAGAAGCTAAGACTCACTTCTTCATAAAGGGAGTGTACAAGGCGGAAAGGAGGAGAGAACAGAGAGGAAGAATGTGTAATTTGGCTCCAGGTGATAAAAGAGTGTGGCAGTCCGCCATCAGAATTTCTGTAATGGAATGCTGGTTACTTATTTAAACAACGTGACTTTGATCCTCAGATTTTCGCATACATACACTGCTGTTTGTGCAGGGGGAAATCATTCATTTGGGTTTAGGAAACATTAAAGCAAAGCAATTAAACTACTGTACATCTGACAGTATGACATTCAAAATGTGATCACTGAGAGCTTCATGATTGCATTTATTTAATAGAAATGGGATAAGAATATTTGGGACATTTGAACATAGTAAAAAAAAAATGTTATTGTCTACATCTTTTTCAAATAAAGGTTTTTCGGGGGAAAAGGGGCCATCTGATCACAAAAGAAACTAATATAGTTCAAGTTATAGTACTTTTAAGGCCTTTAAGTGTTGGTGTACTTGTTACACAGTATTTAAATTGCTACCATGCACAAGGGATTGCAAAGGGAAATCAATGCATGCATGTAAACCAGCACTAATGTTTTACAAATACAAGCAAAGATGCTGAATTCAGTAATAGTTTAAGTATAGCGGGTTTATTAAAAAAAATGTACCCAAGCAGCAAAAGTAAATGTACTAAATAGGTAGAATGACACATATTGTTCATTTTCAATATTGTCACTTCAACACTTTTGATCCCGTTTGTGTAGTATTTCTTTTTTCTAGTGGCAGAGTCCAACCTTACAGTGCTAGATTCATATTACGCTCCTTTGTAGAAGTGATACAAAGGAAATAAACCAGCATTTAGTCCAGATTTATATTGTGTCTTGCTGATATCAGCCCTAATGTTTAGTGTTAACCCTCCTAATGCAAAACAGATCTGTATTACATTATTGCTAATGCTATCCAATCATGGTCAGGGTTGTTTTTTATTGTGAAGCAGTCACGCCATATATTTATCACTGAGGTTAGTGCTAGAAATGCCTCCTCAAATGCGACATTTGTGATAAAAGTAGCGGCTCAAGGACTGTTGCTGTTTAGTTAAACATCAGAGGTTGTCCCTGCAGCACGGAGAGGAATCACCCTGACTTCCTGGTACCATAATGACGTTCAACAAACTGAGCGTCAATGGGCAGAGGGATGCAGGGGAGGCTGTTTATTGTACTTTTGAGAAAGGACCCCTTCATTAAAGCCAATGTGTTTTTACGCATGTGTATGTAGTCAGCACAATCTGGGATACACTCGCTCACCCTTGCACTGTAACCTTGCCCACTGGAGTGCACACACACTCTGAGTCAGCAGAAATGGGAGCTTGGTGACACCGTTAATGAACCCATGTGTTTTTCTTCAAATAAACTACGGACGGGTACCGAGCCAAGGGACTCCTCTGGTTACCTGACAGCCGAATCCTTCTCTTCCTAAATGTTCTCTTTATTTATCACTCCCTTTAACTCTCTGCATTCTTGCTCCATCATGCCTCAAGTCTCTCCGCTCTTAAGTTTCATTGTCTCTCTTTTTTTCCCCCTCTGTCTTATTCCATCTTGTACTCACAGTAGGGTATGAGTTCTAGCAAGCACACCTAATACGTCCGGCACATAGCTGCCAACTTATGTCATTACTTATCAGCTCTTTCCACTTCCTAGGTGTCTATCAATCTGTCAGTAAGTTGGAAGTAGAAACTACATTTGTAGTCCGCTGCAGTGGCCTGTCAGTCCAGCAGAGGGCATCACTACTATATATCATCTCAAAGAGCATCAGTGAGATGTCCTAGAAAGAAATTGAACATCAAATTGATTAAACTATTTGTTTTAGACAATGCCCTTGTACATTTCAAACACTCATCAAGTGCTGTTTATTTTTGGTTATTTTTTTGTTCAACTTTAACCTAAATCCGACCAAGAAGGTTAGTCTTTAAACCCATTTCACTTCATGTTATTGTTTCAGTTCATGCCTCAAGTAGAAAAGTGGATTTAAATTGACTTGGCTTTTAACCAACAACAAGCAAAGGGAAGAAAACACAATAAAAAAAAAAAAAATGTCCCCTTAATAAGCCAAATGAATGAAACAAGTTGCGTCTGGTAAGTAATTAAATATCCAAGTTTATATACCTTTTTAGATACTTGTACTTTATACTTATTTATTAGTGTTACTACTTCTCCGAATTTAAATACAAAATGTATGATTGAATTATAAAAAAGACAAATAGACTGAACTTTATTATCTTCATGTCAACCAGCTCCATAAAGTAAGCTAATGTGTATGTGTTAATGCATCAATACTAATATTATCTAATAACGTATAACAGGAATATAACATTGACATGGGCCATTCTGCATAGTGACTTATTTAGTTTTTGATACATGTTTATACATTTAGTGCTGATACTTCATTACTTTTACTAAAGTGAGGACTTATTTTCATTCATTCACCCAATGTTGGACACAGGCTGAGTATCTAGGTTATTAATAGCATCATCTCCATCATTGTCGTTCTTATTAACAGCGTTACAATAATGACAAATAGTCCCATGCTTTATCGATCAGCAGTATATTTCCTCTCTCTCCTCTCTACTTGCCGCATGTTTCAGCTGTTGCTTAAAGAAGAAGAAAAAGGAAGTGCGCCGGTCAGGTGTCTTCTCCCGATCTCCGTCAGTAAAGTGAAAGGAAAGACGTCATGACGCGCACATTCGCCTTTTCCGCGAGTGTGTGCGTGACGGTAGCTCGCGGACTGCAACGTTGCGCAGCGCACGCACACACAGGGACGTATAACCTACGTGTACCGGCACACACTGGCAAGTTGGCTTTCATATTTGGAGCACAACCACGAGCAGCCACAAGACTGGAAAATATGTGACATAAACCACCAGGGCAACTGGAAACTAGACTAGACTGGAGTCTCACCCTTTTCTTAGCCAGAGAATATATAGATTACATTTGACCCTTTTTGGTATCATTTTATATTAGTCATCGCGAGGGAAATAGATTTGTTTTGCAAAAATGCACAAGGGGATATCCAAGGTCATACTGGCTATAGTTTATGTGGGCATAACATGTGTTCAACCGTCATTTTAACATAATAATTGTTTTATTGTTGCTCTTTTTTGTGGTATTTTTTTTATATTGTTACTGTGCCACTCTCAGTGCCTATGAATTGTCCCTGGGAACAAATAAAGTGTTTTGATTTCAAATGAATGAGGTCGTAAATATGAAATAAGACTACTAACTTGCAACAGCAAGGTGGTCTGTATAGAACTATAAAGTGTAACAATAAAAGTATAGGTGTTCCATGTGATAAGATTGTGCATGTCTGATGACATTTCAAAGCTGTGCAAAATATTCAGCCTGTAGCCTACACGACATGACGAGATGAAATATATATTCGGGGGGGACATTTCATCACAATCACAATATCATGATGCCTTCCAATGAAATCAAATAAAAATAGACCGGAGCTTCTGAGCTCAGCTTTTAATAGATTTCTGGAGATGCGATCACATGAGTGGATGTTTAATAGGGGAAACTTTTGAATAAGAGTTCAGAAGAGCGCGCAGCAGTGCTGTGTATCGGCCCATAGAGGACACACCTCTACAGCTCTAATGATCCACCAATCCACGTTCCCGGACCGGGGGTGCTAACCACACACACACACACATCCACAGTATGGAAAGAGCGAGACAGAGGTGGACACGGTCTGTCTTAACGCAGAGAGCCGACCTGCTTAGTGCGCAGTGACAGAGGAATACAAAAACCCATAGCAAATAGACAAAGTTTTGTGTGACCAGTCCCCCTCCGCGCGGTTTTCTTTTTCCCTTGAACGCCATCCAGCTGGTCCATGGGTTCAAGTTGCACATAGGACTTGCGCTTACAAGTTTCCAATGTACAGATACTTGGAGACGACTGGAGAATCGAGCATGGGATTATTTTTGTAATGTGGATTGCTATTCCTTTGCAAGAAGATAAAGGTCTGCTGCGGAACAATGTCAGACGTTTTGCGTCTAGGATTCTCGTGTTTCTGGATATCTTGAAAATCATTGGCAACAGTTGAGATTGAAGAAGTTATGCGCAAAGGATTGTATGCTCCGACCCCGGGACCAACATGGATTTGCCATTACAACCCCCTGCCCCTTATTTAGAGAAGTTATAGCCGGTCCACTTGTTTTGTTGTTGTTGTTGTTATTGCAAACTTCATGCTTGAGGACAAATCGCCACATTGGCCTCTTGGATTTTAAACGTCGCCTGCCTTTGGATTGGATTTCAAACACGATGAACTTTATTGACAGTTTGACACTATTATTTTTGACGCTGTCAGCTGTCAAGGTGAGTCATGTGTCTCAGAGAGCAAACTGGACCAAAAAGAAAGAAAAAAAAAACACACCAACCGACCTCTATTTGCGTCATGTAGCCATTGGTCATTAATGTGTAGCTCGTCCTTGCCTTTCCTCTGGCTAGGTCATCGCTCGTGTTTAAACAAATCGAACTGTTTAGTGGCTTTGGGAAGATTTAAACAGCCGTTACGCAAAGCCAACACTGTATACACCTTACCCACACACTGGTGGGTGGTGAGTTTCTTTTCAAATGCGGCATATGTGATGATTTTTTAATAATGTTGTGAAGTTTGACGCGGTGTGATTGCAGGCCTGCTGTAAAACCACCTTGGAGATATTATTACGCTTTAAAGGCGCAGTGGCTCCATTCTGAATTAGGACATGTGCAGGTTCACTCCTGTCACTGAGGCTACTCTCACGGTTCCCCCCTCTCTAATAAGATCACATCCTACTTTCCATACTGCCATTAAGGCTATCACTTAGTTCTAGGACAAAACAGACATTACTTCACAGATTAATCCGGTTGACGCAAGTGCGCACTGTAAATCGTTTTCCATATAATCATTAATCAAGTTCAGTGTGTTCACTGAGGCATTGAGCAAAGGTTTCCCGGTGAAAAAAAAAGAACAGCTCTGCAACAGGAGGCTGCCTTTTTTTTTCAGCAACATGATTGGACTTTGGGGGATTATTTTGCCACCTCAAAGAAACCAAGGATGTTTTAGTTTGTAATGTAGTATTTTCTCAAGCATCTCACTTCCAAGTTAATGAACTATTCCCCCTCCAAAGTCCAGCAAAGTGTTTATTTATCTAACTGGCTGATTTGATGACAGCTAAACCCCCACCCCCCACTCAACGCTGAATGGTATCAGGATGCTGTCTCAACTGCTCATTCCCAGTCGGCCTATCATCGGGTTAGGGGCCGGTGTTCGCAGCTTGACACCCTTCAATTGATAATAACGTATGTAGTGTGTTGTATGGCTTGGGTCTCTCAGCCCACAATGTTAAATCCTCTCAGGCCACCAGAAGGGGGTGCAGACTGCGGCACCCACTAAGCCGAGACGCTTTTTAAACGTTTCATCAAGGAATAGGAAAAAAAAAGTTTTACCCACTGCCTGAACTGGTGCTACAGGACTGGGTCTCATGCAATACTGACGTGGTGTTGCGATAGTTGCCCGCGCCTGTATGCGAGAGAGGGAAAGAGAGGGAGAGTACAAGGAGCGCGGTTGTGCGCGTGCGTAAAAGCGAGAGAAAAGTTGTGCGTAAGGGCGCGCGCAGATGGAAAGTTGCCAAAACCTTTTGTGGTCCGACTGGTGTGGTGACATGTACCCCCTGTGAGGGAAAGTAGCAGGATACAATTCTTACCGGTTTTAATGACGAGTTATTAATCCGAGTTGCCAAGAGGCGTCCGAGGCACACATTAAAGGTCTGATAACTTAAACAAAAACCAACAGAAAGTAATTTAACAGTTTATGAAGTTGTTTCACGTAGCTGATGTAGTAGAATTTTGAGGAAGCTTGCTTGGCACGTTGTACCTCTGGTAAAATATTTGGCCTTACAAGGCCTTAGACACCACACAGAGAGATTATATGACAATTATCATACAAGCAGAATAATATAGGAATATATTGCCAGATGTGATGGGGGATCAGAGTAAAAACACATAGTATAAACAATCACCTTGTATTGCTCCTGTATTGTGTACTTCCTCATTGTCTGGGAAGAGTCAACTGAATTACATTCATTTTTTTGGCTAACTTTGGATAAGTAAAGGGCATGGGTGGCATTTTTCTGAGCTCTTGCACAATATACTGTAACTAACAGCGTGCCTTTCCCCCCCCTTCTTTGCAGAGCGCCCACATACCGAAGGAACCAGAAAGAGGTCCACATGCCGGTAGGTGTCCCACAGGGCACCGTGGGAATACAGGCTGCTCTGGGCTCCCTGGCTGGAACACAGCCAAATAAAAAAAAAAAGGGCTGGTTTGAGGTTCACCTTGACATTAAAGGCAAATTTCGCCTCCTGGTGGACAACTGCTTAGTTTCACTTTAAAGATGTATCCACTCATACTCCCCCCCCTTAAGTTATTGAGAGCAGTTTCACCCTGACATTTCAACTCTTGGACATTTTTCATATAGCATTCTTCCACGTTTGAGGTTAAGCTGAGGAAATGTTATGGTGACCAGACTCTTTTTAGAAAGGCATTTCTCCCTCTTGGCCCACAATTTCATTTTTGCACAATTCCAGCATTGCCCAACATCATTTGGAGAATCTGAAGCTAAACTTCATGATATTGTTTTAGGCTCTGGGTGATATCTTGGAGGTGTTGTCTGACTGTGTGCTAATATCTTTCTCAAGAGCATATCTCCTGCAAAGACTGAAAGTAGACTGAAGGGGAAAAACTATTTGCTATTAAAACGGGCTCTCTTAAGTCACTGATGCAGTGTCCTAATGCAGGGTCCTAATAGACAAATAGATGTAGTCGAAATTGCATAAAATGTGTGTTTTGAAAGGGTTCAATGGAACAAGAGAAAGTTAAACGTGTGTGTTTAATCTCCGTCCATGTGATTTCCCTTAGCGTGCCAGCTGTTTTAATTCATGCTCCTTTTAGTAGTGTTATTGTTACAGCTCTGTAGTATTCAAGAGTCAGTGGTTTATACTGAAGCTCCCTGCCATTTTATAACCCTCGTACTCTGTCTCCCCAGTGATCCCTTTAATGGAGGTGTACAACAAGAGTTTGTGTAAGCCTCGAGAGCTGCTGGTGGAGATTATGCAGGAGTATCCGGAGGAGGTGGAGCACATCTTCATCCCGTCGTGTGTGGTGTTGACGCGCTGCGCCGGCTGCTGCAACGACGAGATGATGCAGTGTATGCCAACGTCCAGCTATAACGTCACAATGGAGGTCAGCATAATTGTTTATTACGACAACATTACTTTGAGTGTTTTGTGCATTAGGGTTCACAGTGGTGGGAGTGACAGAGGGTCATTTTTGCTTTTTTAAAGCCTTGTTTCTCAAGTATGGTCACATTGACACTTTATGTTTGCCTAAAATGTCACACAAATGTCAGCCCATAACCCTAAGAGCCCTTGCATTTTGCTCAAAGGCTGATCAAGTGTAACATTATTATTATTTAAATAGTGAATATCTTTTTTGAACTTGTCTCTTGTTTACAGTGTCTCTAAACTCCAGGTTTCCAAACTACAGATTGCACATTTTAACCAGAATTTTCTGGAAAACCAGCAAAGAGAATGCAGGAACATTGAGATGAACAGTTTGTAGAGATAATCTGAGTCGGGTGCAAGTTAACAACAGCAGAACAAGACATGATGATGTTATTAAATGGCCGTTAGTCAAACCGTGAACCATTCAAAACAATGTGGAAATGTTTTAGAAACATGTTTCTTCCTTGTACTGTGAGGAACTTAACAGTCCCCCCATGTCTTCAGATCAGCTTGAGCATTTATGATATTATACTTAAACCTCTAACTTAATACATGTAGATCATTTTTCTCTTAGGTTTATATGTGAACACCTGACACTTTGTGGGACATTTTGCTAACAATAACAAGTAGTTTAGAATAACTGTCGAATTGTTGTATATTTCATTCAAATCTGACTTCTCTTTCTTCTTTTTTCTTTTACAGATAAAAAGAATAAAACCACAAAGGCAACAAAATGATATTTTCATGAGTTTCACAGAACACAGCGCATGTGAGTGTAGGTAAGAAACCCTGAACACACACAGAAACTCACACAATGTGAAGGAAAGACTTACAGCTGCACATTTGTGTGGCAGATCATAGGTCGACTAAACACGTCATGTGAAGTTATTGTCTTCTGTTTGCCTCTGACACATCTAGCCTGTCAGGTGGATTCATATCTTATCTCTGCTTCTTTTTACTTCACCGGTCTTAAAAACACCTGAGCAAGGCAGTCGTCATAACAAACGTACACAAGTCCAAGTCAAGTCTAAGACCAAGCCGGTTGAGTCAAGACCAACTCCAAAGGCAGTTGAGACCAAGTCAAGACTGAGTCCAGAAAGAAATGGAGTCCTTATAGGCAATAGTGTCTTTCCAAAGCTATTTCTCTGATCTCCTGCATACAGAGCTTGGAAAAAAGCTAATTTAATTTAAATCAAGACTTCTTCTAACCCAAGTTTAAATAGCAAAGTTAAAAGTAGATTACTGGCACATAATACTCAATAATGTTTTGTTCCGCTTTAAACCTGACACCAAAACCAAGTCCAAAAAGGAACAAGTCCAAGACAAGTGCAAGAATTCCAAAGAAGCGGTCTCAAGACCCAGAATGGACTCAATGACTACAGAGCAAGTCGGACCAAATCATAGCACCACATCTTTCTGTTTTAGTTTATCTTCATTCCATCACATTGCTCAACTCAAGGAGATACATTTCTGGGAGTACAGTACTGCCTAATCCTTCTCTGGCATGTAGAGGTATGCTTGGAAAAAACGTAGGTATGACAGCTGTCATTGATTTTTGAGATAAGTACTCCTTGTGTCTTTTCTGTGGCCTCCAGTCAAACAAAGGTGACTGGTAAGACTTAAGGTAGAATGATTTATGCCTTTTATGGATGAACTTCTTATTCATTCTTTTGTTTAGATAGGCAGTTTATATAATCTTGGAGATAAGTACCAACTAAAAGTGAAGTGGAACGGTCTATGTATTGGTAACATCTTCATGGGGTTTAAGTTCGACTAACATAATTAGATGCTTACTTAAAGTGAAACAAAGAAATGTCGATATATTTCATCCTCATAATCTCTGAGTCACTATCCAGGTCAATGATCAACAAATATGTCACATTCCTTGCTCTTGTCTTGGGCCTCTGTCGATAGCCATAGGTGAGATTCATCACTTCCTGATACTTTGTCAAAATCAGATCATTATGGTGACATATTTTTGTTGCGAGCCATTAATGAGTGAACTTTGACACAGCAACACAGAGTGGGGGACATGAATCATCCTCCCACGTTTAAGATAAATCTTGAAAACCAAACAATAAGGGAGGGCTACTGGCCGAGGACCAAGCTCTCTCTTTTTCTGAGGAAACAAATCTAAAATATGTCTGTGTTTTTCAGTAAGGCAGGAGCAGTCTGTTTGCAGAGCTATAAAGTAATGTCGCCCCTACTGCTGTCTGTGATGATACAATAACTTACTGTTACTCCATTCAGATGTAGCTATAAACTTTAAGGGCACAATCATAAGATTTGATAAGCTGTGATAAATCTATTTGGTGTTTGATTTACTGTAATGTAATGATTAGAGCTAGTTAAACATGGGTGAAATGATATGCAGGCATTCATTGCTATTTACAGATCACCAATTAATTGCCAAGATGTAAAAGTACAATAACACAAGTTTCATTTTGTATATATTTGACTTTCTTTGTATTGCTCCTTTAACTTACATAAAAAAATGCTTATTTTCTCTGCATACACATTTACAGATTCAGTGAGGGCGTTTGACAGCTGCATACATAATATTTATCAGCCAACAGCTTTAAGTCATCCCCATATGTCATACATATCCACCCTTATGCTTCATTTACTTTCAGAGCATTTGCACGGTTAATTTCAAGTAGAAAGCTTTTTGGACGAAACACTGTTTCCCAACACTTCTTGGTAACTGTGGTCTCCAGAGTGCAACTGCACACTTATTGCTCCACATTCTGTTATCGCTTGTGTCGTCATATGGACAAGAAGTGAAACAAACCTGCCAGCTATTGTAGTCCTGCTTGTATGTGTGAGTTCATCAGTGAACACACCCCTTTGTTTGCACACTGCATTATTCCTCAACATATTGCCTTCATTTACTGAGTGACTAAAAGTAAAAGCCAGCTTTATCACAGTTTCTGGTAAAGGATGATGATATAACATGATTTGATCAAATGGATGCATGCCCAACCATGCTGATAATGAAACTCTGGTCTCTTGATAAGTATTTGTTTACTGGGGAACAACGGCCTGCTGTGATCTAATGTCATGTTGTTTTGTTCCTGCCTTTCAGGTCAAAGATAGAAGTGAAAGAAGAGAAAGAAAAGTGAGTACAGCCTTTTTTCTACAAGGAGATTGTTGTTTTTTTCCGGGGGAAACAATGGGAACTAGAGATTTGATCTTATTCCGGTTTTGCTCTGCAAACAAACTCTCACTCTTGTTTGTCTGAAGCTCACCGCCTAAAGCCTTACTGACATTATGCCATGTGCTCTCTCTCATAGAGACGCTCCAAAACACGTCTCAACAATATTATTTAATAAAAGCTACATCATGCTGAGATTAGCATGTAGCCTTTAGGTGCTAAACACGGGGAATACCAGCCCAATCTATTCAGGTAAATGAGTGACACTTGATGGGGTTATTGCCCTCTCTATGACTGTCCTTTACACCTTTCTCCCCTTTCTTCCTATCTTCTCTTCGTAACTGTTTACATCCCACTAAACTCCTGTTACTGGTTGCTCTGATATAGATAACCGTGTTTTTGAAGACCAGTTAAACTTGTGCAAAGTGTCACTAAAAGTCACTCAATCGTCCTTCTGCAAAAAGTCGTTAATATCTTTCAGTTGCAGGGCGGTTATTGGTTGGGGATTTGGGTTTGATGTCAGTTGTATGTCATATAGATAAGGGCTAGTTTTGAGACCTCCTCTTTAACCTCGTCTTAACTGTTTGCAAGTCCGGCTTCAGAGGCGTGCGTCTACAAAGGTCTTAGGGTCATTCAACTTCCGTTTCCGAGGCTTCCGATATTTTCTTGTTTAATGTTAACTGCTGATCTGTCAGCAGTGACAGGTCTCTGGAGGTCTTTTAGAGAAGACATCCTGCTGAGGTTATGAAACTTGTAAACTGTCATCGTTGATGGTGAACAATTTAAAGGGGAAAATCCTACATACGTATACAGCATTATCTTGTGCACGCCTATTCAACGCACCATAGTAGTCATCCAGTTCCAGCTGTGCCTGAATAGCATCATTAGACTGAGTGTGCTAACCTCTCATAAAGCTCAATCATTAAGTCAAATCTTTTAGGTTTTGACTAAATACCTGAAAACTAACGACATTTCCATCAGCCTCAGCTGCAATGTGTTTAATACTAATAAGCATATGTTAGTATGCTAACATGCTGATCTAAGATGGTAATATCTTACCTGCTAAACATTAACATATTAGCATTGTCAACATTTTACTATGCTGACGTAATCATTATTAATGTCTACCATATATCAAGCAGCCGGTTCTATTTGCCCGCAAACATGAACATCTAAGACTTCCTCAGACTGAGCCAAGTACTTTACTGACGTGTCCAGCATTTAATTATGTGTTCCAGAAGAAGAAGACCAGTCTGTGGCAATTTTAGATATAAACATTTGTCTATGAGAAAACACATATATATCCAGCTTGCACCTGTGAAAGTCCAGGCGTGTTTAACAAGCTGGTTTTCATTGTGCTGTGGTCGGAAAAAAGTAGAAACAGCCATAAAGAGTTGACCCAGATAGATGAAAGATGCAGTTTTGTGGTTTCCAAGTTCATTGTCCTTAATCCATTTGGGAAATGTCCGTAAAGCCAACTAAGCCAGACCTTCTCAAACTGGTAATCGCTTAAACCCATTGTAGCCTTTTGCTAAAAATAACAAAAACATTTAACCCAAGATGGAACAGTTGATATCCATCATATTCATAAACAACAGGAAGCGTAGAAACCACCTACAATAACATAACTATCAAACTATACAATATACTATTTTGACTAAGTGATTGTTTGGATATTTGATTTAATGCAATTACCACTGTAGGCCTTTTCTGGACACATCAGTCCCTCTCCCTTCTGTCTCTCAGCCATCTCTCTGCGTTGTTTTCCTCTTTCTCTTGCAGAAAACCCCGGAAAGGGAAGGGTAAAGGCCAAAAGAGAAAACGAAAGAAAAACCGCGACAAAACAATTCACGATGCGTATGTCAGCTCTGCCTTCTCCACCTACCTGCACCTGAGTGTTGCACTTCTCATAGTTAAGCTCATTTGGGAGGAGCTCATTTGCCCTATTTAATTTGCACCAATAGCCACATCAATTAGCATGTTGCTTCTGTGTAATGTCGTAACTTTGTCTCATCAGTCATGTTCTACACCCTCAGAGTATCAGTGTCTAAACTGCCCTGATTGCTAACCTGTTTTGCTAACGTAGCTTTAGCCAAACTTGACATAACACAGATAACCAAGGAAGTACAGCAGACTTGCCATATCCTACATCACAAGTAATGAAGCATAAATCATCTCCATTCGTCAAAATACCTATGTAATCTCCTCCCAACCTTACCAGCTCTCGTTTGAAAGAATATCGTTGGGTGAGAGTGTGGCGATGGTTGGGATGAGATACAGCGGCGTATCAGTGAAAAGGGTAGAAGGTTGAGTAATTCCTAACATCTTGCCAGATAGGCAGTTTTCTGATTGATAGTGGACACGTTTAAAGGGGGTGGAATAAACAGATCGGCCGCTGGCTGTAACGTGAACTCTCTACTGAAACAAGATCACAGCTCCAACATAGCTTTTCAGACCAGCTTGTACTGTTCTGGTATCTAAGCTGGAATCGCCAGGATTGTAATCACGGTCTTGTGTTCGGTGTTGAGTCTGTGAGGCTTTGCTGTGTCTCGTACCTGTCTCCTTTTCACTCTTTGTTCTTTTCATCTTTACAAACAGGTTTTGCCGTCCCGTGCATAATGCTGGTCCTTTTTATGTAATGTTAAGATATGAGTGATGGCTATCTATTTCCTTTTTTGCTTTTCTGTTTTTGCTAGGAGGATATGTAAACAAGCAAATTGTTTAACAAGCACTGTTTTGTATCTTGGTTTGTCTACTTTTGTCTCTGAAACTATACAAACACACCCATATAATATACAACAATAATATAAAGATGATCTAATTTGTTCTTCATGCTCATACTGTGAAAGAATACCTTTTATTTGTGAAAAAATTGTATTTTGAGATGTAATTGGAGTTTCTGAGCCTTCATCTGTTCTGAATCTAATGTCTCTGTAGGAAATATAGTCTGCACTTTTCACTCAATAAAATGATATCTTTCTTAATGGAGCACCAAGCAGACCCTTGAGTCTTCTTTACCAAGAGTTTACCTTTTGTGAGAGTGAGAGCAAGGTCATCGACCCGCAGTTCAAAGCCAATAAGTGTCGTTTCGTGTTGCATGAACCAGTTTTGCTCAATGCATGTCTATCACATTCATGGGATTTGTGAGCGGTCCAATCAACACGGGAGGGTTTAGGGTGCGTGAGGGAGGGTCATTTTACTGCCTGAGTATTTGCCTGCTCTGTGGGAACCTGTGTGCAATACAACCCAACTGTCACATGTAGTACAACTTGTCAACTTGGCTTAGAAGAGCAAGCTGGAGCGTATAACCCGGCTGACCTAAGGGTGACCTTTCTTATGGGTGGTAATCATACCCTGTGATAATAATCTCTCTCCCTCTTTCTTCCCATCTCTGTATGTCTCTTCCCGTCCAGTGTTTGTGAGCCATGTTGTGAGCACTGCTCAGAGAGGAGAAAGCGTTTGTTTGTGCAGGATCCCACTACCTGCCGATGCTCCTGCAAACATACAGACGAATACTGTAAAGAACGCCAGCTCGAGCTCAACGAGAGGACCTGCAAGTAAGTGCTGTGTTGGTTTCATGACCAGTGTGTAGGGTTCAGGGGGTAGAGGGTCATCTTTCACAGAGTTGGCCATGTTGAAGGAAAAAACAAACACTGATTCTAGGAAGGGCCTTTTTCATTATGTTACCTACAGTACACCCTACATCAGGGCTATTCAATTAGTTTGGAATGGGGGCCGGTTGATGAAAATGATCCAAAGCAAGGGGCCGGGAAAAAGATGGCTTGAAATATGAGCAATCATATTTAAGAGCTTCAGATACAGTAAATACTACAACAGCATAGTGGAGTGCATATATTGTGTTTAATTCAATCAAACAACATAGCCCCAAGGCCTTTATAGATCTAAATGGCAAGTTCAGAACTCAGTAGGCCTACATGTTTCATTTGATTTCATTTAGGTGAAATGATCTAATCATTCACGCAGAGATGCAATCAATGACAGGAGTTGTCACTACAGTATAGTAGGTGGGTTTGAAACCCGAGCCCGTCGAAGTTTTCAGGCATTGTCTACCCCTCTATCTCTCAATGTAACACCCTCTCTGGAATAAAGGCACTATGGCACAAAAAAAAAAAAAAAAAAAGAAATCTTAAAAAAAAAAATATTGATTACTTTTTAACATTATACTCAAAGGGCCAGTAAATATCACCCCGGGGCCGGATTTGGCCCGCGAGCCGCCAATTGAATAGCCCTGCCCTACATGCTCAGAAAAGGACGGTTAAGTGGAGGGGCATTCACTCGGTAGCCTTCTACAACTGTGTCCTTTGAGAAGGCCAAAGTAGAAGCATGAGTTGTGGGGGTGTTACCTTGAGCGAATCTTTTTTCCTGGAACTATCAGAATCTCTTTACACAGAGGGGACACATGTTTATGTATAAAAGACATGATTTTGCATAATAGGTGACCTTTAATGTGGTTCTAATCAACACTTGAGGTCGCTCATAGTGATGATCCCAAAGAGAATATAAACTTGACTTCCAACTTAACAGTTACTAATAGCTCTACGAAGCCCTATAGGATCATTTCATAAATAGTTTCTGGTTTTACAGCCCATAACATTTACAGTTTTGGTTGACTCATAAGGCACTCATTGGTGTCATTGACCTTCTGTTAAACCCTCTGTACTCTACTTGCCAAGCACTTAATGGACTTCTAAGTGAGCGACTAGCTTACAGTGGAGCATTTAGAAAACTAAAAACATTTGGACTCAAAAATGAACCCAAATCAATCGTAATGTTGCTGTGTAAATAATTAATTGATTGCCAACACATTTGCCATATCTACATTGAAAGTTGATAATATATCAATGTTGTGTTTAAAGCTTATTTATTCTGCCCCCAAGAGGCCTAAAAAGTAATTGCAGGGAAAGGTGACCAAGGTACACAATCAAGCAGAATATTATGGCAGCTAGCATTGTGACTTTGGTAGATATACGAATAAATAGTTTATGTATATTGAGAAAACGACCGAAGAACACTCCCATCTACAGCCTGTTTTTTTTTTCTTGTTCTAATAACTGTATATGTTTTCCTTCTTGTTTAGATGTGACAAGCCTAGGAGATGAGAGAGGCGGCAGCACCAGATGTACAAGATGAAGGAATATTCTAGAGATATTTCACAGCACAGCACTTTGACCTTTGAACCGTAAGCTCTTCTTTTCTGTGGAAAGCATTCCCCTTGGACAGACAGAGAGAACAATACAGAAAGTCTGAACTGAAGTTCCCTCCCACTGTTTATCTTTGTGTGTATATAGACCATGATAAAAGTAAAAAAAGAGTAGAGAATTGTTATGCTGCTACAGAAAAAAAAAATACTAAACCCATCATTTTACAAAAAGCAAATGGCCGCCATGTGGTTTTGCATTTCTAACAGGCTTGCTATGCAGGTGTAGTCTTGTTGTCAATTAATTGTATGCAATTACTTCACTGGATATGAGTCTCTACTGTGGTTGTGTGTCAATCATAACATTGCAAAACCTCTCAATCTAAGATATATTTAACTGCTAAAAGGTGAAGCTGAAGAGGACATGGGAGCGCACTCTCTAAGAATAATGGATGGATTTCATCGGACAATATCTACTTTTGCTTTTGGAGTGAAAAACAGCAGGTAAACCAGGACTGTTGAACAATGCAGGACTGACATGGAGTTACACAATGTCACCATTGTGATCAGCTTGCAGGAGAAGAAACTCTGGAGTGCCATTTACGAGTAAAGGGATACCGGTTATCAATATAGCATCTAATGTTTTGCTATGTCCTACATGAAAACCACTGAAAATATCCTATACTGTAGTTTGATTCCATTTTAAAAACTGTGCCTCACACAATTTACTGAGAAATCTTTTCGAGTGCTTTTTAAATTATTTTTTTGTGTCCTTGTTTCAGGAGGGGGTTGTCAAGGTAGTTTTGTTAGTTGTTCAATACGGAAACCTTTGATTACATATCTCTTCTCTGAACCTGTACATACTTACTATCTCCTTATGCCATAGTCCATTTTAGATAATTTATAATGTTATAGAGTATGTTTCAGTATTCAGTCTTCTACCCATATTTAATTTGGTCTATTTATATATGCAGTGTTATGTACCTATGGCTGTCATATTTCCCCCTATGTGTAAGGTCACTGATGGCTTCTCTCAGCATGGACTCTCTGTGCTTTTCTACAAAAAAACACAAAAAAATCGAACTGATTTGTTAACATTCCCTAAATATATCATTTGTACTGGTGTACTGATGACATCTCTGGATTTCTCAACCCCTCTTACCTAAGGGTGTGGTTGCTGTGTAGGATTTCAACATGTGTGTATCTGTGTGTTGGTGTATGTGTGTGTGTATGTGTGTTAATGTGCATTTGTCAATGGGCACATCTGTGTGTAAGTAAGTTGTATTAAGGTATTTAAGTAAGTAGCGGACTTGTGTTTTGTCCGTCCTGCAAGATGCAAAAACAAATAAACTACTGCTAGCAGCTCATCATACACTACACCACCACCACCGTTTGAAATTTGGATAACAATCTGCATCATTTCTGCCATCAGTCCTAGAGCCCTCATTATTAGTTCTCTTTGTCTCTCCTTTACTATTAACATGTTTTCTGTGTCTATGTAAAACAGTAAAGCATATTTATTTTCAAATTATATTGTTTTTATATAAAATAAGCAAAAGGTTGCTGTGTTGTGAATGCTGTGTTTTCAAGACGTTTAACTAGGCAACAAGAGTTTTCCATGTGTTTGTGCGGCAAGCTGATACTCGCACATCTAATGAGGATCCCTGCAGGATGTAATCTGGAAGATTATTGAACTGACAATAAGACATTCCTGCACGCTTTTAATGACAGACAGAAATCCAGCCTAATGAATAAAATGGCACTATGAAGCAGTGTGCTGTGATGTCACCTGTTAAATCTAACCATAGACAACCATTTGCATTAAGGGAAATGTCCTCTGGGAACTGATGTTTCACTAATAAAATGGTAAAGATAACATTGTGTAACAACAACAGAATCCAGGAAAAGAAAAAGGTAACTATCTAGTTCTAGTAGAATAGCGACAATAGAAGTAGTTTGGTTAGAAATATCGTTTTGAGTTGGATTTGGTTCGTTTCAATAGTTCATTGAAAAAGGATTAATGAAAACCAACTTTAACTAATCTTTTTTACTGAATCATTGGATTGAAACCAAATGTTTGAACAGCTATGCTTTTGTTAACGTAATATCAATAGACTCAAGTTACGGCGTGGAAATACACGCAAAAGCACATTTCTAATAGATGACATTGTGAAACGAAAAGGGTGATTGTAATGTATACCAGTCAGGTCTCTCTTGAAAAAGAGATCAATGATCTCAAGGGATTCACCTGGATAAATAAAGGTTTGAAATGAAATGAAATACCTCACAACCTAAAAAACGTATGAAGAAAATGGTTGAAACAAGTTCTGGACGACAACAAAGGTAACTGTCAGATCAATTACTTCTGTGCAAGGCCAAACTGCAGCTTCCCCTTTTGGAGTGAATGGAAAATTCTGGTTAGACTGCAGCATATGGCTTACTCTATTGGTAACTTTTCCATAAATCCAAGATCCTTTTTAAGAAATCATAAAGAATACCTAGAACATGTTTCTGACTTTGGTACATGGGCTGCATGGCCTGAAACCTCACTAGGTTTGCTTAAGAGCAGTTATAGCTGGTACAAAATGGGATTATTGACTTTTTCAGTGACACTGCAGCAGTAGCTGAGCTCCAGGCCCCTGGACCAAATCTAATACCTATGAATGTAGATTAAGTGGAGGTTTTTTAGTTCTTGGGCCATGTTTGTTTTGAAACTCGCTCCTTCTTATCCCCATTGCTTGCTACTTCCCATTGGATTAGCTCCTGCATGGCGCTAATGCTCTGCTGTGCTCTCCCTGACTCAGGCTCTTTATGTGCATACCTAAATATAAAGCACATCATATAATCCCTGTAAATTGTGGGGCCCCCTTTACTGGGCGAAACACCCCAAAGAATGTCATAAACCGTCTGATCTGTGATTTACCCGGAACGCAGAAAGTAAGCTAGCAGCCTGTCTAGTCCGTAAACTGAACTGTTTTGATTTTTACATCAGTTTGACAATGGTGTGGACATGTAAGAAGCATCAAAGTGGGAACAACCTTTTTAAGTGTCATACCAAAAAATTATTATTATTTCGATAAAGAGGCTTTAAGACGTAGAATATATCATTTTAGTTAAGCAATTAAAAAAATTATCTAACATCGAAACCCCTTGTTCAAAAGAAAACTCCTAAAAATGACTGGATTTTCACCTTTAAAGGGTTGTTATTTATCTAATGTATAAACACACAATGTGATTCCTCAGCTCAGTTGAGTGTTTTTACGGGGAAACTAAGAAGAACATTAATTTTTATTTTATAAAATCCTTAAAACATGTTCTGACCCTTTAGGAGTATTCACCAGGGATTTATTAACCAGTGGCAAGCAATATATCAACTCGGTTTGTGGGTGTGTAATTTGTGTAAAGGCTGCTTCCCTTTCCTTTCAATTCTAATTTAAAAGAGCCTAATCACTCCGTTGTTTTCACTTGCGGTAGATTATAAAGAGAATAGGGTGGGAAACCGTGATTCAAGACTTACCTGAGTTCTTATCAGGAAAAAGTTTCATTGAAAAGAGTTGAATGTAATCTGCTCACGTGTCGTTTGCCGATGATGCAATGCTGCATAATGAGAGTGATTAAAACAACTTGGAAACCACTGGATAGCGATACCGTCGATCTTGTCATCATGTCACCACAACATACATTTTAAAGTAGCATTTGACAACTTTTCCCCCTAGCGTTACATAGTGTTTTCATTTTTGGTGCCACTTTCGGCGGGCACAGTCAAGACATTCAAAATTGTGGGTCTTGCTCGTCTTCTGAAGGCACACCTGTACGATGATTACCACAATGGCAAAATATGCTACCAACGGCAATAAACTTACAGAACAAATACTTTTTCCTTTCCTCTAAAATACCTTGTTAGTTCCCAATATGGTTATACTACTGTGTTGTTTCCTCTTCCTTAAAAATGTCTGTTTGTTACTATCTTGTTCCGCTGTGCCTACATCCATGTTTGTTTAAGTCCAACACACACTTTTCTTCTCCAACTCTTACAAAGCATACAGTATTTGGCTCTTTAGTTGCTAAATCCACTAAAACAGTAAAGTAAAAGCATCACGTATCTTTATTGTTAATACGATAATACTAACAGAAGCCGCTTTAAAATAGAAAAGAATACATTGAAAACAATAAAGAACTACCATAAAATAGTTCAAAAAACAGAACGTTTTTACAAAACTCCTTTGTAATTGCGACCTTTTTCTGGCCAAATCAGTTTGCATGTTGTTTTCCATGCCGCACCCAAGATGTGTCTCGCCACAAGACTAGTCAAGTCCATTTTAATTGATATGGTGTCAAAGGATCTCATGACACTTTTCAAATAAAGCAGGTCTAGACTTTACATTTTAATTAACAGTGGCCTAACATTCCCCCAGAGAGAAAAGGTTAGTAAAGACAGAGATGCACAACAACCTCCCTAAGATTAACAACTATAATATAATATAATAATATAATATATGACTTATAATAATATAATATATGACTTATAATAACGGTGGCAGCAGCAATGTTACGCCCTGATAAAAGGGGAGAATTATGACAAGAGTCAAAGTTAGGTTTCACTTGCCGGTACTTTACTCGAGTGAGTTAACAAATGCAACACCTTTCAATAGCACACACACACCTCTTATAAGAGTACATACACTTGTCTATTAACACCGTATTTCAATCATGAGACTCCTCAATTTCCACAATATCATTGACAAGACAGCAAAAACCTCACACAGATGATACCCCGGATGCTTTGGGTCAATGAAATGTTTTAGATTAAAAGGAATCAAGTGCATGATTCATAAGGACTTGGCTCTAATGCATGCCTAAATCCAGACATACAAACGTGGATGCAATGTCTCTGACCGAGAAAGTTAAAAGGTCAAACAGTCACAGGATGCGATCAGTTACAAGAACAGGTTAAGCAGAAGGATGGAGTGCGGATGTAGAACAATAGGAGCAGGTGTGATTAGACCTGAGGCAGGCGACGTGCTCCCAAGCAGGTAAATCACTCCACACTGCTGGCGTATAAAACCATGAGAAACTACGACTTGGCAAAAACCCAATCCCTGATAGGTGTCTGCATTCAGGTGTGATATGTGCTCACTCACACGTACTACGTCTTAAAGGCTTCCGATCTATATTTACCCACTTTATGACTGATTGTAGCACTGAGCAGTATCCTCCATGAGTCATGAGGCAGCGAGCTGCAGGGAAAAGGAGGGAGGGAATCAAAATAAGACTGGAATCAGTTTAAAGACGGATCAGTGGAGCAGGGTGGAAAGGATACTAATTGAGCTGAAGGGGCGTAAGTAAAGAGGATAAACATGGGATGGAGTAGAGCATGATTGAGAAGGTGGAGAGCCAAAGAAAATACACCCATTTAGTGTCTACTCGTTCATCTGCACGTATGTGTTTGTGTCTGAATGAGAAAAATGAAAAGATAGACGTGCAGGGGTTAACTGACAAGAGGAAATATATTGAAAACTGTTCCAAAATATCTTCATTTCTGTGGCATACAGCTACATCCCTCATGGTTTTGCCAGCCAGGCTGCACCCACTCACCCCTCTCATGGGTGTAGTCCAGCACACACTCATTACCAAAACATTACCATTTACCAGGCATAAGCAAGTCTGCTTGTGTTTAGTCCAAATGGTACAGATTATTGATCAGTTGGACACCCTTAAAGTCATTTGTGTTTCCCTGCTCCCTCTGTCTGTCTCTCAAGTATTCCTTATGACTTCCATGCACTTCTAAGCTCACAATTTAACACTTTGTATCTTGTTTGTTTAATCTGTACAAAAAGTGGAAAGTTGTGATTTCCTTGGGGCCCAAATATTGTGTGGCTGCACGCAGCAACAACAATCAATCTTCTCAAAGGCCAGTAACATCATTAGCGCATTTCCCAAAAAGTCACACTATTCCTTTAAGATTTTAAGATGCAGAACAGACTCTAACAATTGAGATGATCAATTAATCTTCTTATGTACAAGGGTAAATGCTCCTTTCACTTGTTCCTGCTCAGAGAGGATCGAGTGCCAGATCAGGAACAGTAGGAATTTAGTATCTTGCTCGAAAACACAAGACTGATTTTATTTGAACTAAAATCTGCTGTTTTGTAAAACACTGTTATTTTTTAAGGCATTGTTGTTTTAAATAACCCTGCTGCCGGAAATAATGTGAGCAGGGGGAATTACTGCAGATCAGGCAGGTTTACTCGTATTAGACAGGCCCGGCCTTGTTAGAGAAGCCACAAGGGCTCGGTGTAAAGGAACTGGCAGAACTGCTGATCAACCACAACTCGCGAGGAAACAAAGGCGAGGAAACAAAGACAGGAAAATTGAGGATTAAGATGAAGAATAATACTGATTCACTGTTTGATTTACCCAAAAGAAAATTAGAGATCAAAGGGTCACGGATACTGGCAAATGAGGAGCTTAAGGTCTATAAAAAAAAGTCTCATAGTGAAACCTTACTCCAAAGTCCAAATAGGAGTCCTGGCTGCATCTCTGTGCGTGTGCATAGCATGCA